GCGAAAAAGTGATCTAGTAGAACTGGATATTGATGGTTTCTAAGTCAAAGCGATCGATAATGTGGAACTCTTAGGGGTTGTAATTGACAATAAGTTAAATTTTAAGAGTCATATCTCTAGGTTAATTAAGAAAGTAGGTAAACAAATTGATGTACTTAATCGATTTAAACACATTCTTTCGTTTTCGTCAAAGATACGTATATATAGGGCATTTATCATGCCTCACTTTACTTATTGTTGTTCTGTTTGGAATAGCTGTCTCAAAGAAGATAGTGACCGGTTAGAGAGATTACATGAGAGGGCACTTAGATACGTGTTTAATGACTTTTCCAACGGATATGATAGTCTTTGTTATAAGATTGGTTACTCATTAAGTTGTAGACGGAAACAAGATATGCTTTTAATCATTCTTAAAGCCCTCTATAACAATATGCCTCAGTATATTCAATCTTTATTCCAAGTAAGAGAAAATAAGAAAAATCTTAGGGGCAAAAACAAACTTGTTTTACCTTTAGCTAAGACCACAACGTTCGGCATCAAATCAACTTCTTACATTGCTGTTAAGGCTTGGAATGCACTACCTGATAAGCTAAGATTAATGGCTCAATCTGGCCCTTTCAGGAATGAGATAAGAAATCTAAGTAATTTGTAATTTTATATCACCATCATTTATATCATCATTTATATCTAGGCTTATATTATTTTTAAACTCTGTAATTTATATTCATACATTTCTTTCGGTGTATTAGCATCTCTATTGTTAGAGGCCTAACAAGCCTCATTTTCGTCCGAGTTTAAATAAAGTCATCATCATCATCATCGTCATCGGTGTCAGCCATACTTGATGACGTCTTTATTCAACTCAAAACTATTATGCTAAAACTGCAGACCATCTATATTCGAGGCTACAACGCTGGATGTTATCATTGTGCGCAGACTCTGATTACAGCTCCTCAGATTGTCAAGCGTCATGACCTTCAGATCCCTCGGATTGACTTTTCTGAGCCACATGGAGTCGAGGAAAGGGCGCTTGCGATCGCAAAGCAGCCTCTATAAAGTCACACATGGCGAAATATCTGAATTCTGGACACGAGATTGAGATTACTGCACAGATGAAAGAAGCTATGGAGTCTTCCAGGGGTGTGCGTGGCAAATTGTGAAGGTGTGCAGTCCTCCCAATGCTCCATCCATCAAGAGTTTCAAGTGGGAGAGAGTGAGTTTTGTCAGAAACCTTTGCTACGGCCAGGAAGGATAAGAACGTGGAGAGCCTACGACATTGGCCCTGGAAAAAGTATTCCCTGGTCAAACTGCGATGTCTCTGAACAATCGGAACTGCCGACGATGGAGATCAGGCCCTCGACCAGCGAGACTATCACAAGCTTTGTTCCAGTAGTACCCAGACGAATAGGTGGCCGAACCCCC